AAAAAAAAAAAAAATACAGCTTCTCTTCAATCTTGAATCTTGAGCAGGGAAATAAACTTTACCCTTTTTTCTTTTCAGTGCTTGGGATGGGACCCACAGCCTTCCATATACTGGGCAAGCACTCTATATCCCCAGGCCTAAATCTCTTTTCTTTAAAATATATTATGGTGATATTTTATTTGTGCTGAAATATGATTTTATTTGTATGTTAATAAATAAAAGTGCCTGGGGGTCAGAGCTAATAGCAAGCCATAGCAGAAGTCTGGCAGTGGTAGCACACTAGCACATGCCCTTAATCCCAATCACATGGCAGGCAGAGTCTGTGTGTTCAAGAATACAGCCAGCATGGAGACACACACCTTTAATCTCAATACCAACCATAGAGACCTAGAGGTCTGTATAGAAAGGCAGTGACGAGGAGGTCATGTAGTTTGGTTTTCAACCAATGAGAAGGCAGAACAGAAAGTCAATAAAAAGACAGAAACACAGGAAGTAGGTCTCTTTCTAAGGGGAAGGACGGCAGCGAGTGGTAAGAAGGAGGTTTTAATCTCATTCTTGGCTACTGCTCTGACCTCTTGGGCTTTTAACTCTGCATTTGGCTCTGTGTTTCTTATTTAATAAGACCGTTACATCTACAATATATCTCGTGCACTATTGACAAATGACTAAAAAATAAATAAATAAAAATAAAAAAGGCAGGGCCAGTAGCTCGTGCCTGTAATCCCAGTTCCTTAGAGTCAGGAGAACTGGAGTGAGTTCAAAGCCACCATGGATATTGGTGCCATATGCCTCTGGGTGTGCCTAGGGACCTGGGAGAAGACCCATCCTAAATGTGGTTAGATCATGGGATGAACACCTGAGTAGGAAGGACAAAAGGGAAGGAATAGAAAAGCCAACAGAGCGCAGCCATCCCTGTGATCTGCATCCTGTCCACTGAGTACAAAACAGCCTTCACCACCTGTTGGCACCACCGGGCTGTGGTTTACTTGACCAAGTGCATGTGGCCAAGCAAACACAGCCGGAGCCCTCTGAAACTGAATCAGAAGAGCCCTTGGCGTTGTCTGTCAGACGTTCTGCCATGGTGCTAAAGAAAAGTTAATATGCTACTCTATGCAGAATAGCTTATTCCTTAACTCCAGAAGCGTCTGAGCACCGGGTTTTACCTATTATTTAATTGCAAAATGAGAAGAAATCTGTATCACGGACTGGGTTAAGGCACAGACTTAGAAGACACAGTTAGCTGAAGGTAGCACTATGTCAGCAGTCCAAATGGTTAACAAGGAACATGCCATCGTCTGTAAGGGTCATGTCCACGGAATTTTAATAATGCTCGGAGGTTCCAGGACTCAGGCTTTTTGCCAAGTGTTTTGAAACTCTGCTCCATGAATTCTTGATCAAGCTGACTCTTGTGGGGTTTTGTTTTGTTTGTTTTCATCAGAGTTACTGCTTACTTAAGAAATGATGGGGAGGGGGTAAAGGAAAGGATAGCAGTACAGCTGTGGACCTCTCAAAAGAGTCACATGTAAGTGTCTTCTTCGTTCTCTACTTGGTTTTGCTTTATTTAGTTTTGGGTTTTTTTTTTTTTCTTACTTTGTAGCCAAGGACAGCCTCAAACATGTAACAATCCCCTACCTCAGCCTCCCTGAGTACTAGGATTGCAGGTATAAGCCATCATGCCCAGCTACACATCAGAGTCCGAATAATAGCTAGCTATAGATGGTTTTGATGGCTTCTGAAGTTATATTGATACAGAGGTTAAAGGTGAAGCATGCTGGGTGTGTCAGCTCACACCTGTAATCCCAGCACTTTCCCAAGCCTAAGGTAGGACTCTCATGAGTTTTAGGCCAGCCTGGGCTACAGAGTGACAATGTCTCAAAAGAAAAGACAAAAAAGTACAAACTGTTTTAGTGTATTTACTAAATGAGATTATAAGGCGGTTATTGAGAGGCCAGTAGAAAAAACACAGGTCAAGGGTTAAAGGAATCCTCAAGCTCCATGGGTCATAAGGAACTCCAGGCCTAAACTCTGACTCCAGATGTGATTCACAATCTTGTTTATAAGGGTTCTTGATTCTCAGCCAGCAGGGGTGAGGGACTCCTTTCCCTTCCCATGTGCCTTGATTTTCCCTTTCTTTCCTGCCCCTTCTGAGGTTTCTCCCATGAAGATGAAATTTTAAATGCCTGAACAAAGCATAAATACACACTCAAAGGAAGCCATTTCCTTCTCCCACAGCTTTGCTGGTGCTTAGATTCAAAGCCAAATGTTTAAAATACTGACTGGGTCATAGAGATGGCTTGACACCAAGCTTAACCACCTGAGTCCAATCCCGGGAACCCACATGGTGGAAAGAGAGAAACCACGCCTCCAAGCTGTCTTCTGACCTCCACAGGCCACCCTGACACACACAAATATACACATGCACACAATTGTCCGGGCTTGGTGGCTCTCTAAGTTCAAAGCTCGCTTGGTCTACTTAGCAAGTTCCAGGCCAGCCAGGGCTATACAGTGAGACCCTGTCTCAAAACAAAAACGTGCATACACAAAATAAACAGATAAACACAATTTTAAAAATAGTTTGTTTCTAGCCGCGCGTGGTGGCGCACGCCTTTAATCCCAGCACTCGGGAGGCAGAGCCAGGCGGATCTCTGTGAGTTCGAGGCCAGCCTGGGCTACCAAGTGAGCTCC